GCCCAATTCAAAAAAAGTAACACAATTAGAATGCACAAAGAATGCCAATAAATGAGAGCACTTATTTCACGAGATGATGCACCAACAATTTGATCAATGTTATACTGAACTATGTTTGCTTTGAAGCTACAATAACCTGCAACTTCAAGTACATAGGCAATACCATAAGTTGTCCACAGAATGACACTAGAAGGATAGAAACTATTCACAACATAACCACAACCTACAAAGATCATTGATAGGAAACAGAGAACAATACCAATGATTATTGCTCTATGTCTTCCAATCTTAACATCTGTCAATAATCCATAAAATGGAAAACTTATAAAAACAAAACAATACAAAATATCAAACCCAATCCATCCATTATTGACTGTCGAAGTCTCTGTTGATGTGATAGTTGAAGGAACAAAGTATCTTAAAAGGAGGATATGGAAATATATTAGACAATCCCAAGTAAGAACCATAACAGCCCATCGAGAAAAGACCATTTTATGTTTAAAGACTAAGCATATGACAGGATGACACTGCTAAAAAGCAAAATTTATAGATGATTGTACTTTAAGTCGAATAAACTTGTTCAGAATGGGAAAACATTCCTTTATTTAACTGAAAAGTTTTCTTTCATTATTCAACACTTTCAATACATGTAGATCATAAACTTGTAGCTTCATTTATCCATAAACTAAAATAATTATCACTACACAGCCAATTGATTTAATTTTCTTTTTCAATTGTTGCTTATTAAAGCTGCACTTAAGTGCAATGCAGCATACTACCACTTATTGTGGAAGATATACACTGAATCTACTTAAATGTAATTAGTGTAATTGTAATGTATGTACATGTAGTTGTTAATGTTTAATTTGTTATCTTAAATAGTCTGACACTTACATGTTCTGTATCATACAAGCACATTCTAGACTGTTTCATGCATGCACATTCACTATGATTCCAGAATATTCTTATGTTACACTATATATTGATTTGTGCAAGTCTGTCAGTTGGTTCTTTTGTGTATAATAAAGTCATTTCATTGAATATAGTTGAGAAACTATCGTTAGCTGTCGTACCAAAAGTACTCATCACTTATGCCTTTCATAAATACAGTACATCAGTTGCATTACTCCTACCATTTATGCTAAAGTCTATAGCTTGCAGAAAAGTGCTATATTTCCGGTACCAGAGATACATGGAATAAGAGAAAGAATATAATGAAAGAGAAAGAAACTTGTACAAATATAGCTAGCCTAATTTATCCCTTGTTGTTGTAGTATAGTATGATAGTACACAGAAAAACTAAAAGTTTATATTTAAATTTAAAAGTCAGCATATGGATACTGCTAGAGTGTAGTCAATTAGTAAATACAAATTTTTGCTAGCTTTCTGTATAGAGCAAAGAACATTTGATAATAATTAGATTTAATATTGAAACCAAAAGTTACAATGACAAAGCATAACAACTTGTAGCACACAGATTAATTAAAAGAATCATGATGACACACAAGAAAGTTTACACAAATCAATTCTACTTAAATAGAAACATGAACCACGAACATTTCAGTATCTACGTAATGTAGTCGTATGACCATACCAAAAATAAGGAATGAATATGAATAATTAACACAAAATGAGATACAATAATCTTCCCCACAACTATTTAGAAAATTGTATTTTATACATATCTTCCTGTGTCATGTATCTTTGATAGTGATCATCAACAATAAGGTGGATATTAACTTCATTCTCTCTTACACGATACTTGTAACGTCTAGCCAGTATTACAAACACTATCAATATAATAAAAACTACACCACTCTTAGTCAGGTAGTAGTAGGAAGCAGTACACAAATACTCATTGGGACAATCAAATAGATACTTTATATTAATATTGAAAAGATATCCACAGCCTATTGAAGCGGACCACATTCCAACCATGACTCCTCTCATATGCACTGGAGATTGTGCTATTGTAAATTCTAATGTTGCTGGAAAGAGTATGGCAAATGTGAATCCAAAAAATATTTGTGGAAGGAACATCATTTTGCTTGAAAAAGTCTTTGAAGCTTCTGTATAGTTTTGAAAGAAGTGCAGTATAGAAAATTTACTTGTTAGTGTCAATATTGCAAACACTTGTCCAAAAGTGATTAACTTGAGGATACCAGGAATGTATTTAAAGCAGCATACTTTGATTACTAACAAGTGGAACAGAAGCAGGAGACCTGATATAAGGAATTTAAAAAATTGAGTTGACAATAGACAGTCAATGATCGATAAACTTTCACATTCAACTGTTCCTGTAAATATCCAGTGATATACTTCATCTGTTGCAGCGAAACTAAATACAGCAATGAATAATGGAAGCATACGGAAAACTGTTTTTACATCTTCTACCTCTTCCTCTGTGAATGGTCCACCATACTTATCCTTACCCAGGTCTAGTCTTGAAGGAGCCTCTTCCTCCCAGTAGGTCAGAGCACTACGATTCTCAGGATACTTGTGCTTCCTGGCATAACACAATACTCTAACTATTAATCTGATCGGGTTCTTTATTAATGTAATGTTCTCCAGTTTGTGTTTAAACAATGAATGGGACACCAGTACAAAGGATATAGCTACTCCTGCTAAAACAAAACATATTAATGGAAAGTATTTTTGATCAATGAGACAACGCCCCAATTCAAAAAAAGTAAACACAATTGGAACACAGACAAAATGCCAATGAATAAGAGCACTTATTTCACGAGATGATGCACCAACAATTTGATCAATGTTATACTGAATAATGTTAGCTTTGAAACTACCATA